CCCCAAAACCCCAAAACCCCAAAACCCCAAAACCCCAAAACCCCAAAACCCCAAAACCCCAAAACCCCATTGTCGGCATTGCCAATTGACTCATAATTATTTTCAGATATTTTTAAATTACATTATGATTGCCACCAAGGCCCCCACTAAGGAAACTCCCAGCCCGATATTAATTACGACGGATGAACATGCTACTGAAGTTATTAAAGCTATCAAGAAATACTCAAAAGATAACCACACGAAAGAAATCGTCCTAGGAATGGACTGAGAAGGAATTCAGAAGGATAAGCCATTGTCTCTGATTCAGGTAAGCTTCTTATTATTAGCTTTAACGTAGAATCTAACGCTGTATAGTTATATATCAATGGAAACACATACATATTTGATGTTATCAAGCACAATCCCTTTGAGCTTGGATTAAAAGAGGTAAGTATTTCACTAATGGTCCCCCACCAGCTTAGTAATCACTGATATAGATTCTGGAAAATGATAGCTATATAAAGGTCTTCCATGACTTTTGTGAGGACTCTGCAGCTCTATTCCGTCATTTCAGGGTCTCTCCAACCAAGATCTTTGATACCCAGATTGCTCACAGAATCAAGAGGGAGCTTGAAGAGACCATCACTTATCAAGACAACAATATTTCGCTCAATAATCTCCTACAAACCTATATGAAAGTTGAAAATACCATGAAAACTGAGATGAACAGCCAGATGACAAGTGACCCTGAGTTCTGGTATCAGAGGCCTCTCACCTATGCGATGCTGGAGTATGCTGCGCAAGACGTCATATATCTGCCGGAGATGTACCGAATTTTCATCAAGAACCTCAGAACTGCAACTATAGCGAAGATATTCCAGAAGTCTTCAGAATATCTATACTATAGTCTTCTAAATTGTCATACCAAGGATTTCACTTGCTTAACGGAAGGAGATATGGTAGGAGCATACATCAAGTAAGTCTAACAAATCTAACCACTTAGAAACTACTATGGAAAGGTTATTTTCTGTAGCCTCAACCTCGGATGCTCAGGCATCATCAGAGACGAAATCTCCTGAGATTTCATCCACAAGAATTTCAACATGGGAGATCTGATAAATCTTCAAGTCGAAAGGTAAGCCGATACAAAATTTTTACAGCCCTATATTTAAATCTGAGATTTTATGTTTCAAAAATCTGGTTACTTTTCAAATCTTATGGGTCTAATATTTCTCATAGCATCGACTACGAAAAGAAGTCAGTCATGCTGGTTGTCCCAGACAACCTTCTCAGCATGGAAGAAAGTACAGTTAAGGGGTACTACAAACTTGCCAAGATGAGCCAAGAGTCCAAAGTCAAGAAGATGGTGGAAGCTCTCAGTAAGAAATCCTTCAAAAAGCCAAGAAAGACCTCGATGAGCCTGACTTCGAAGAAATTTTTCCCAAAGATAAAGAAATTTGAGTCAAAGGCGAAGTCCAAATCCGGATCCTTCGATGAAGCGGCAACATCTTCGACCACAGCTATTAGTTGTAGCGCCTAACTTGAGCCTCTTTAAAGAATAAATAATATTTAATTCTTTAATTATTTAATTTTCGACTAAATATCTATTGTCTTCCTTACAAAGGGGTTTTGGGGTTTTGGGGTTTTGGGGTTTTGGGGTTTTGGGGTTTTGGGGTTTTGGGG